ATCTGCATTTCTCTTTCCCATTTCAAGATCATGATGCTTCAATTTTAGATATTTCTGGAGCTTTTTAAGGCTCTGTACATCATGACAGGCTCATTGCTGAGTTTTCAAAAAATTAGGTGGGTGAGGGGGATTGATTCGAAGAATAGAGCGGACTATTACAAGACAGCCAAGCTGCGGGACACATAAGGATGTAACCGGCCTAACAGTCATCTAGACCTGGGAACTGGAGTCTCATCAGGAGGAGCTGATCTGACATGAGTAAGGGAGTACAAGTCATTCAGTTGCGTATGTTCACTGTATGACGACAATAGAGACAACTTGTAAATCACTACACCTGGATAACATCTGGACTTCTGGAAAGTCAGTTCATGTATATGAGCTCACTGCTCCTCACACCGATTCTGTGATAGAGATACAATTATCTTCCCTTCACAGCTGATAAAATGGATATTCGCATTTAGCACGTGGATGGCAGAGCCGTGGTTTGAACATATATCTTCCCCTGCTGGCCCTCCGTGTGCTCCATCAGAGCACAGGGGCCTTGCTGCAAATGAGGTCCTCAGACTTTGAGGGGGGATTTTTGTGCAGTTTTATCTTCATGAACGAACTGCAAAGGGCAAAGAAGAGCAGGCCAGCCTGAGTCCCCTGCCAAAAACACGAGCAGGCCAGCTGCATCTTTCCTTCTTCTCCAGAATTAAAGCAATGAGAGGCCTCTTTGATGATGGCAGGTAGGCAATGTAGTTATTTTGCAATTAACGAAGTTTAAAGAGCTCTCCCTGAAAAATGTGCCAAGGGGCCTAAATGACTAGTCTTACACTAATCTGAGTAATCTATTATTCTCTGATTATTTTTAGCCAACTCTAGTTTTTAACTGACTATCTTGTACTTAATGCTTTGCTTAATGTGAGGGGATTTACATAAATAATTTGGTAGTAGGTACATAGTGATTGTGATGGCAATAATGAAAATACTCAATATATAGTTAAACACGAAAAAATACCTGACAAATTTATAATCCTATCATCTCTCTTAACAATGTTGTTTTAACAGTTTTTTTGTTTACATGCAGTAAGTTATATAGAAGCAGTCTGTAACAGAGAGAGAGCTTTGTTATTAGAGAGATCTGAGTTCTAAGTCAACTGGGATTGTCTCCAAATCTCGGCTCTCTCAGCTGAAAATCAGAAGTAATGCTGCCTAATATATGAATATTTTGTGTATTATATCTAACATATGTAAAATATCTGCTAGGTAACCTGAGCCTGATTAATTATATTTATTATTGGGATTATAAAGAGTATACTAGACATAGTTAAGCTGCTCTCTCTTGGAGCACCTAAAGCGAATAATGGAGCAAATGTCATTAATACTGAACATTAGACTAAAAGTAAGAAACTAGTGGGGGAAATATGATTTTCTGAGGGCAAAGTCCAAGCTGTACTCTTTAAATTAAAATAGGAATCCATCACAATATATGTGTGACATAAAAATTCTGTAGAATAATAATTTAGATTTAATAAAAGAAATCCATCATAAGATGAAAATTAAAAATGAGACTATGTATTTCAATAAAATTGGGAAGCTTGAAGTGTTTAGATTTTCAGTAGTTGATATAATGACTATATTTTAGAATTGTACATTTAAAAATAAAGGTCAAACTATAAAAAATTTCATAGGCTTGTTGAAGAAAATGAAATATATTTCAAGGAATATACAGAATGAAAAAAAGCAGAGGAAGCAAAGATTCATTTTTCCAACAAGGGAACAAAGGTGATTGAGAAAGGAAGATATGGCATAAAATATGAAACTAGTTAGTCTGTGGCTTCATTTTAAGCAACTGGTAAAAGTAAGAAGGACTTCCCTCAACATTCTTCTTTAAGTTGCAGAAGGTCTGTGATTTGGAATTATGGAAAGCAAATGCAATCACAGCTCAACTTCACCCTTAGCTCACACTGTTTAATAGTCATAATTATGCAAATATCAATTATTGATTTTCAACTGTATGAATCCACATATGGACAAAGTGAAAAACTCATTATGCAATAGAAAAATATGTTATCAGCCTTTACAATGAAAACTAAAGAGAAAGATTATAGATTGAGATGAGGAAGCAGGGGGAGCTAAAGGGAAGGGGATGGATATTAAAATACTCCACTCACAATTCAGAAGTCAAGATAGACAGAAAACAAAAGAGATCATTAAGAGAATTATTTGAAGCTAAAAAAAGAGACTAATCTAATAATACAATTATATTAAGAGAAGAAATAAGAAGATACATGAATTAAGAGATGTCTATATTCCATAAATTAAAAAGTGGGCATTAAATAACCAAGCATTTATTATATTTTGGATATATTTATCTATTCTATTTTCCAAAACTGTAAGCCCCTTGAGGGTACTAAAATGCACTTATTCAAGTACATATCATCACATAATAGGTCCTCAGGGATTTCTTGAACAGAAAGATGGTACAGAAAGATAAGTAAAGAGTAAAATTTTGGAAGAGTAAATTTATTTTATTCAAATACAATCATCAAGTGGATGCTCAAAAATGTAAAACTATTCTTTCAGAAAATTATTACTTCAGGAA